ATTCTTGTTGATCGCAAAAGGTATTTCTTTTCATTTTTTTTTCGATATTGTTTTATTTTAATTTCAGATATGAGAATGAGTTTGAGTCATTCCTCAAAGTCTGCGATCATCGCCAAAGTAGCTAATCTATTGCTTATTTTCATTGAAAACTCCCCGATTACAGTGCGAAACCCAATCACGCTTTAATTTGTTTTGCTATTAGATTGTTTTTCTTTGTCGTTTTCATTTATTCAAATATTTTTTCTTTTTTTGCTTCATATCGGGTGTTATACTATTGTGATGTACACTCCTTTTTTTTTCTTTTATTTTTATTTCTCTAAGGCTTTTTTATTTATTGGCTTTCTCGCGGGTGACATCATTCTGTGATTTTTATCGTACGTGTTATCTAGTTGAATGGTTATTTTTTCAATTTCCATACAATATGCTCATTGTTATCTTCCCACATAAATTTGCTTCACATGCCTTTTCATTGATTTACCGAGTTTCATTTCATTGCCTTTATTCAATTGATTATTTGTTTCTGAAATAAAAGTTAGCAGACACAAATTTGTATAATGAATTGATTCGAAGTTGTATTTAACAAAAAATACCTGCAATTTGTTTAACCTAGTATAAATTAATTTGCAATTTGAGATGAATTCCGTTGCACTTGAAAGTAAAACGAAGCTACCCCAAAAAATATTAGAAGTGATTACCGATGGTCAAGCCCTCGCTCAGCTCTCAATTGCGTCTTCACAAACATCCGAGGTATTAAAAAAATTAAAAAATGTTAATATGAAAGTAAAACAATTTTTTGTTCACTATTTTCCATACATCAGAATTCTCCGTTTTCGTTTTTTTATTCATTATGAATATAAAGAAAATCATGTAAGAAATAAAAGCATCTAATGTCTTAAATTGTGAGTTTACAAGATTTCTCTCAAAATTATAAATTTTTCAGATTCTCAATTCCAGCGCAAAAAATCTTTGCAATATTGAGCCGAGTGTTAAAACTACTGAAGAAGTAAGCGGTTAATCATAATTATATTTCAACCACGCATTTTTCAGCTACTTGAAAGTATTGATAAAATAATTGATGAAACTCAAGAAGCGTTTCCAAAAGTTGACAATGGGTATGTTTTGTAAAGTTTTGATAACAGCATTTTAACTGATTACGACTAAACTTTACTGGAATGATTGACTAAATAACACATTTTAACATGGTATTCACCCATATATGTTTTAATTTTATGTTTTACCCTTTTTTTTTAATTTCGTTTTCTAAATTTGGTGAAGTTTTACTAATTCGCAATTAATCCTTACTAATGCGCTCATTTTAGATTGGATACCGTATGTGATATCCAAGAGGGCGCACAGCGCATGGAACGACACAGCTATTATTGTTCCATCGTTTCTTCAAACTCAACTGATAGCTTCACTTCATCTGTGATGAGTGAAAAGTAAATAATTGTATATTAAATTTGTATGTATGGATCTGGAACTTAACATTGTACATTTTTGTCTTATCAATGATCTCAATACTAACTAATACTCATTCTTGTCACCAATTTGAAAAACAAAACTAAAAATAAAATAATATTTACAATATTACAAAGATTTTTTTCGAAATGTTATTTTTGCATTCTAGTTATTAATTGACTTTTGATGTGGTGTAGATTCGTAGAAAACAAAAAACAACAACATGAAATGTCGATGATTGATTTTTTAAAGATATGTATGTATTTTTTGAAAAATTGAGAAAAAGGCGTAGAAACATTTTTTCATTTTTCTATGATAGCACCAGTCCATTCATCAGGTAAAATTAATTCGTTTTAATATGATGAAGCTCTTAAAAAAATAATACATATATAATACAAAAATTAGTCAATATTTTTATTTTTTCATTTTTTTCAGATTTATATGAAAGTTTTTTAATTATTGATTAGTTGGGTATTAAAAAAGATTTTTAATCAAGTCAACAATTTCCCAGAAAAAAACATTAAATTTCTTCAACTAAAATTTATTATAAGGTTGTAATATTTCAAGTTGAAGATAATAAAAAAAATACGCTGTGTTAAAATGCAGGACATGAAAACAACAGAAAAATGAAAAAATGCAATCAGTACATAATCCGTAATAAAATTGCAACATCTCTTCAGTGCTCTTGGTTATACAATCAAGCCATGGAGTTCAAAGACGAGTAGAAACGGTCTAGTAGATAATTTGGCCGATTAAAAAAAAACGGAATTTTTGTTAAATTGACAAGTTGATGTTATAAGAACCAGGCAAATTGATGGCCGAATTAATTTTAAATCTTTTAAGACGGATGAATAAAGCTTTGAACAAATCGAAACGTTGAAAATATCAATTAAAAACTTCATTAGTAATCAATTTCAAGGTAATTTTTAATGAAACGCCCTGAAAATATTAAAGGGGCGGAGGTAGCTCTTAAAAGTATGAAAAAAATTATGAAAAGTATATATATATGAAATCAAATAAATAAAAAAAGACAAAAATTCTAGGGATAGTCTTCGTGGAGAAAAAACCAACTAAACAATGTGTATTGTCGTCAAATAAAATGCACAAGTCCATAACGTCATCTTCAGTTTCATATCAAAATTGAACGACTTATTTGTGTGTTATCAGAGCCAAATAGGTTTTTGAAAACAATTATCAGCAATTAAAATTCGAATATCCATAAGTGAGCACGTCGCGGGTTCACACCTGACGCAGTATTTATCGAATTTGTTTGGGGCTAGAAATAAATTGTTTTTATTCTCTTATTCCCTATTTCCTATCTTTAGTAAAAATGGAAACGGAATAATGATCAATCGTAATGATCTCATATAACGACATTCAATATTTTTGTCTGTTAACATTTATTCAAGCGGAAGTATTGGTATCAATAAGGCAATCTGAAAATTACGGAGGGCAAAGGAAAAATAGTGGGGGAAAAACTAATCATTCGGAATCAAACAAAATGCTTTTGGACCATTGAATAATGAGCATAATCACGATATTTTAGGCAAAAACCATTCAATCGAATAACACGTACGAAAAGAGGCACAAAGGAGTGTACATCACAATAGTATAACACCCGATATGAAGCAAAAAAAGAAAAAATATTTGAATAAATGAAAACGACAAAGAAAAACAATCTAATAGCAAAACAAATTAAAGCGTGATTGGGTTTCGCACTGTAATCGGGGAGTTTTCAATGAAAATAAGCAATAGATTAGCTACTTTGGCGATGATCGCAGACTTTGAGGAATGACTCAAACTCATTCTCATATCTGAAATTAAAATAAAACAATATCGAAAAAAAAAATGAAAAGAAATACCTTTTGCGATCAACAAGAATGGAATCCTTCAATTCATTCCAGAATCGCGTGTTATAGTAGTTTTTAATTTGTTCGTACTGATCATCCATTGAAGAATTATGTTTCACGACATTCTTCAGCTGCTCTTCAACCCAGATCATTGATGAGGCCAGTGTTGGTCGATTGAAATGTGGAGCGTTGCGATACCTAAAATTGGAATATGCAATCCACTGAATATTTCCTTTTTGGCTTACTTTTCAGCAAGTCCCACTTTGGCGAGTTCGTTGCGGTAGATTTGAGAGAAAAGACGGCGAGACATGCGAACCGAAGTCACATATTCGACGGCTCCGACAGCCTTCATTCTCTGCCAGCGATCGTGAGCATCGGCATACTCAACAGCGGCACTTCTGTAGACCTTCTTGAGATCAGCGGCACGCTCTTCCATTTCTTCCTTCTTTCCGGCTTCATGAAGTTCTCTCATTTTCTTGTCACTTCGAATCATCATTTCAATTTGTTTCGGCTCGCGGAATTTGATACCAACAATAGCATTTGGTTCGAGAATTCCTGAAATAAAATATAGTAATTTGAAATGTAAAAGTTGTATGATACCTCCACGTGATTTCTCATCGGCAACGAGATGAATGAATTCTGGGCGAATTTGTCCGTCAAGAACAGCCCAAGCTCCTCCACGAAGTTCACCGGCTTCTGGTATGTAGACAATCACTGGGCGATCGTAAACAGCAAGTGCATCGACAATTTGAGCTCCAAACTTAAGAACCATATCGTACATGTCTGAAATCATAACAATTACTTATTCGCCTTCTAAAAATTTGTTTCTACCTTTCTGTCCTCCAGAAAATCCTCTGAGACTAGCAATGATCAAAAGCGGAAGGTTTTCCTTATTCAAATCATTGATAGCCTCTGCAGTTTTATAAGCCGAATCCGGATACCAAACCTGTCCGGCGCGTTGAAGAACTTGAGCTTCACTTCCTTCGAGTGCTGGATCTGCTGGAACGTTTGTCTGGAAGTTTCGGAACTCTGATGCAACAACGCCGATGGGAATTCCGCAGAGTCTTGCGCGTCCAGCAACAATCGATTTTGCCCAGTCGCCGCAAATTTCGTCGAATGACATCGTATCGCATATTCCTGTTTTGTGGAAAATGTCTTGCGAATCAATGAGTTTGCGAACATCGTATTGCTTCTCCTCACATCCTTCAATCGGAATATGGACATCACGAACCGCAATGTCGGTTCCGAATTTCTCGAAGAATGGGAAGTTCTCCTTTGGTGCCGGAAGATAAGACATCCATTTGAGAACCTTTGCAATTCCCTCCAAGTCGTTCTCGACAACAGCATGCGATACTCCGTTGCGGAACATGACTTCTGGTCCACCCAGTTGGTTGTTCGACGTGTAAACATCTTTTCCAAGAAGAGTGTTGAGAGCAGAAGCTCCAGTAAGAATCAAGTGCGATTGTTTGTGTTGCACAATTCTGTGGGCTAATCTTGCCGTATATGCTCCAATTCCAACGGATCTTCCAGTGACATAGCAATAGGTCGGAATCTCCAAGTAGGCACGCGATGTTTCTCCAGCAATTAGACCAGATCCTTGAAGGTTCTCAACTCCAATCTTTTCATCTTTGTGGCCGATAACTGCAGTTATTTTGAGTCTGCCATTTGCCAATTCCTCGTATTCTATCTGTCCCTTAACAAGATCCTTGTGTTCCGCGTCGATGTAAAGGTATTCGAATCCTTGTTCCGGCTTCTCCTCGTTCTTGAGTTGAAGTTTCACGAGTTTCGAAACATTCTCAGCGAGTCCGATACGAGCTCCAGAATTGCACGACACATTGACTCTTGGCAAATTTCTTTCACGAGCCAATTTTGAAGCAAGAGCAAAGAGCTCATCTTCAGCAGTTCCGAATGATCCCGATTGGAATGTGATATCATTTCCAATCAAAATCGAATCGTATCCTTCCGGCTTTTCTGGTGTATAAAGTCGCACAATCCAGGCAACCATTCCACACTTATTCAACGCATTGTTTGAGCGTTTCTTCATTTCTTCTTCATCGCTGATCACTTCGATTTTTCCGTCTTTGGCGACCAGTTCTTGAACGTCCAAAAATCTGCGCCAATGTCCACTGAGCAATTCTTTTCTTTTCCTCTCCGGAAGAGATTGAAGACGAGCATTGTACGTTTCGATGTCAAGCTTTTTGCAGGACTTCCACTCCTTGTAAGCAGCCAGACCGAAAATCATTGGAAAGTCGTAAATGTAGCTGGTGTGATTGGCTCTTAAAAATGGTTGACTAAGCTGAGTTATTATTCGAATAATTACCTTGTGGCAACGCGTTTCTTCTCAATGTTGCTCAACGCCGGATACTTGCCAAGTATTTCTGGGAATTCGGTAATGACTTCTGGAGTGACTCCAGTCTCATCCCGAAGAACGATCCGCTTGCTTCCTTCGGTCGACTCGTACACAATCTCAACTTCCGTCACTCTGTGCTTGTACAAGATTCTTTTGTGGCAATCCACTTCTTGCTGAATGCACTGACGCATGAAATTGAGATGTTCGGCCGATCCAATGTCTTCTTCAGAGAGGCCTGGACATGAAATGTGAATGAAGATGTGGTTGGAAGTGTAGATCTTCTTGGTTTTGCCCATTGCAACTTGTGCGGCAGTGCATGAGTTGTCCAATGCGGCGAAGAGAGCTTCCGAGATACCCTTCTTACTAAATTGCCAATTAAACGGATTATTACCTAATTTGAATTAACTTACACTTCCTCCGCATTTCTTCCTGGAATCAGCAAGTGTTGTCTGATGAAAAGTTTTGCAAATTTCTTGTCGCTATCATCGAGCTGATATGTTCTCACGGAAGAAAGTCGTGAAGAAACTGGGTAAGTGTTCAGTGGAAGTCTGTTCTTCTCGAGACGAACTTGTTCGAAGAACGTCAGTTGGGGAAGTGGGCGGTCGTGAAGGCAGAGGATAGTGTTGACGCGAACATTCTCGTGGCCAATCGACTTCAAAGCTTCGGTGATGATTGGAACGGATGCTTGCGCCTCGCAAACTTTCCGCTCTTCAGCTTCAGTCAAACACGACAAATCAGTGTGAGACGAATAGTCATCGGTGATTTTGACAAAGATGGAAACATTGACATCACCAGCAATCTTGGCGAAATGTTCTTTAAGGAAATTGAGGAACACTGGGTGTGTCAACCCGGCAGCATACATAGCTGATGGCAGTTGAAGTCGAACGACCGAGAGTTTATCACCCGGGAGAACGATGCGATGGAATCTGAAATAAGCAAATTGAAAAAAAATGTTTCATCACACAATTCATACCTTGTCGGTTTTTTCAACAAATTGAATGTGTTGATGTGAACAATCGCGCTGATAGTGCCAAGAACATATTGATTCTCGACGAATCCTTCTTCAGCCGATATGTAATTATTGACGAATTTCTCAAGAGCAAGCGATCCAATTTCTTTCTCAAAGAAATACTCGTGCATGATCTTCCATGCTTGCGAATCGGCTTGTTTCGAATTTTTTCCATTCAGCCATTCTTTCATTTCTTCGGCTGTCGGCTTCGTACCACCGTCCGTAACTGCGGAGAAGTTGTTCTTGTAGCAGAGGTTTTGGTGGATGAGAAGGATTTCACGGGCCAACGAAGAAATCGACGTGGTGTGGTGGAGGTTTCCAATTTCGCGAAGGTTTTCCAAAAGATTCGGAATGAACTTTGATCCGGTGACTTTCAATGCTTCCAAGATTGCTTTAATCACTATATTTTTCGACTTTATTTGCGTGTGTGAGTATATAGTTTGTACTACCGCGTTTCCACAAGTATACTGAAAATGTATTATAGATGATCAACCTGATCTTTTATAACTTACATCGGTCTTGATTTCAGCAACCGAATCATCGTAAGCCTTTCCTTCAAAATATTTTTCGACTTTAATGTAATCCTCGAGAAGGCTGTTCAACACGTTGGCTGCAAAACCTCGTGAGCCGTTGACAAACTCAGAACAAGCATTAATAGCCTTCACGACATCTTCATTATGGCTTGCCGTTTTCAACACACTCTGTAATTTGTGAAATAATGTTTGAGACGAAAAAAAGTTTAAAATACCAAAATGTGTGTTCCGTCGACATTTGCCTTTTCAATTGCATCGCCGAGTTGTTTTCGATAGTCAATTGGGAAAGCTTTGGATGCTTGCGAAATGACAGGCTCCAAAATGATTTGTGCCAGGTTATCTGCATTGAGATACTTGAAGAGCTCATTTGAAAGTTCGGTGATTTCCGCAACTCCGCCGAGCGGAACTGAACCTGCCAGAATATTTCGGCACTTCTGAAGCATTTACGCTGGTATCATAATTAGATTTCAATGAATATACCTCTAAACACGAGTTGTACAAATTCCGATTGTTCTCCGATTTCGAATCCTTCACTGATGTCCATTCTTTGAATGTTCCCGTGAATGGCTGTGGTCGATACTTTTCCGAATCCTTTTGATCAACGAGTCGAGCAATTACCGATCCAGGGAAAAGCAAGTCTCCTTCGTTAGCAACACGAACAAGTCGTCCTGGTGCTTTCTTGACCTCAACGTTGAACACAAGCTTCATTGATTCGACGGTAGCGAATGTCTCTCCAACATCAACATAATCTCCATCTTCTTTTTTATAAGCCAAAAGTTTTCCAGTGTATGGCGATTTGAGAACGCTCGGATCATTGTCCTTTTCGAAAACAATAATTTGATTTCCAATAGTGACTTTGAATGTTTCCGATGTTTCTTCGAGATTGCATTGATAGACACTGTCACCGTGCGTCACCATAAGACCACCGTTTCCGAGAAGAACAATGTTAACAGTCGTCGTCGAACCATTGAGAAGAATAACGAAGGAGAAAGGCGCACTTCGTGTGACTTTTACCTGCAAAATTGTCTAATTCATTTCTTAAGTGGAAATGATTAAAAAAGCCATCAAAACTCGAAAATGCGTCATATGCGCTCTATCGCACTCTGCATGAAAAGAATGTTTAAATAAATTGACGTACACTGTAAATCTTCAAATCTTTGACAAGATCAAACAGGAATGTCTCTGTGAGATCATTCGGCGGCAAAACCTGACCACGTTGAATGGCCCCTTTGAAGCTGTCAAACGCCTGAGTCACACGTGAGTGTCCGATGACCGCTGCACTGATTGCAATAATGTCACTCATCGGAAGTGAGCATTTCTGTTTAATCTTCTTGGCAATTCTAATGTCAAGCCATTGAGTGTTGAAGCTGTTGTTAATGAAGTCCGGCTCCATTATAAGATCGACAAGGTACGACACTTGGGATTTGAATGTTGCGCGGAGTTCAAGTTCTTTCAACGCTCCGAGCATGTTTCCAATAGCATCCGCCCTGGATTTTCTTATTTTCAAAAAGTTGCTGGTTGATTTGTATACCTAGTGCGTCCACGAGCGAACAAATGACCGAATTGCGAATCAGCGAATTCGTGAACTTTTCCACCGCTTGATACCGAAAAGTATCCCCAAACATCTTGCGACGATCGGAAATTCAGAGCTTCGACAGATCCTGTCGATGGCCGGAAACTGTCATCGGGATCTTCACTCGTGATTCTTGCCGCAATGCTGCAGTGTTCGGTGTGGGTCAGAACTGTGTCTTCCGGAAGTGGTGAATCGCCATTTCTCTCGAGTCCGAAGAACATTCGCACGTCGTGAATTCTATGAAGTGGCAATCCCATGGCAATTTGAATTTGAATTGCAGGGATACTGATGTTTGCAATCATCTCCGTGCATGGATGTTCCACTTGAAGTCGTGGATTCAATTCCAAGAAGAAATATTCTTCGGTGTCCGGCATGTACATGTACTCAACAGTTCCGGCCGACTCGTATCCGACGTATTTCGCAATACGCACCGCATCTTCCTGCATCGCTTTCAAAACTTCTGGTCGCGCAATGTTTGCCGGTGCCTCCTCAATGATTTTTTGACATCGTCGTTGAATCGAACAATCTCTTGTGAACACCGGTATCACATTTTCGTATCGGTCCGCAATAAGCTGTACTTCGATGTGTCTCGCGTTTTCAACGCACTTCATCAAAAATATCGGCGATCCCGGAAGCTCTTGAACAACCTCGCTGAACATGCTTTTGAAGTCTTCGATCTTTGTGCATTTTCTGATTCCTTTACCACCGCCGCCTTCGGAAGCTTTGATCTAGACTAAAACATTTACACAATGGTATTGAGGGCCAATTCTACCATAAGTGGAAATCCAATGTTGTGATGCTTAAGAGCATCAAGACCTTCTTGAGCCGTCGACACCGTTGCCTTTTGAAGTAGCTCGTGCGGAACTTCGATAAAATCTCCTTTAGCGCGGATTTTCGACTCCATTTTGATTCCCGCTCCGGACCATGCGATAGTAGGTATTCCGACGGTCTGAATACCAATAATTGTTTCATTCTTTCATAGTTTTCTTGTTTTCTCACTTGGGCAATTATTGTACTCGCGATTTTATCTCCAAGACTGAACATAGCGCTGCTCGGCGGCCCAACAAACACAATGTTGTGTTCAGCAAGTCTTTTTGGCAGCTCTGGATTCTCCGAAGCATGACCCCATCCGGCCCACACCGCGTCAACATTCTTTTCAACAGCATGTTTGATGATCTCGTCGACGTTTGCGTAGTTGTTTCTATTGCTTCCAGTCGGTGAGAATACCAGGTTGTTTGCTAATTTGAGGTATTCTGAAACGACAGTAAGGTTTGCTTAATTTTTGTTTGGAATTATCTTACCGGCGTTCGATTCAACTTCATGCTGAGTTGTTAAACAAATGAACTTGATGAGTTTGTCATCGCGGAAAAGTTGGTTCAGCAAACGGCGGATTGCAAGAATACACCTGACAGCTCCGATTCCGTTGGTTGCCACAAGTACCTAATTGTGAAATTGAGAAAATATCACAACACATACTGTGTACCTTTCGAATTGGGCGACGTTTTGTCGGATCCGCAACGAACTTCTCCACGAATTCTTCCATTGATCCATATTGAATTGCTTCATTAATATTATCCTGAAGTTGCGAAATTTCCATCATTTATTTTCAAAAACCGTTCAAAAACTCACACTTCCTGAAACGTTGATTTTCTTAATATCCGGTTTACGGCCGTTAACAGACATTGGTCCTCCACTTGTTTCGAGGTCAGAGACTCTGTAAATCGAAAACAATTCACGTGACGGAAATGTGAAATTAATGATAAGATGCACATGCACACCGGCTGAGTAATTTGGAAAGATTTGGTGATTTGGACATGGTGACGTTGCGAGAAAATCTGGTTCGTTGAAGAACAATACAAACTGGAAGAGGCACGTTTTTGTGTCACTTCTTTTATGCACTGTTGGCTAAACGGTCGCGCACACATGTACAAAAACATGAGTAGTTGTTTTACATTTGAAGTAGCCTAATTTGGCCTAGTTTACTTAATACACGAAAGTTAGTCAAAGGAAATTAGATTTATTTGGAAACATTAAAAAGGCTTCACTGCAACGAGCGAGTTATTGATAAAATTTTGAACAAATATAATCGTTTTTTAAGTGATTGCTAGTGAGGTGACAAGAACTGATAGATAACATCTAATATCACGCCATCAGCAGTGTCGTTCTATGATGAGATTTTTCAATGCAATTTCATATGGTATTTTGGCTCATGTGATTTCGGAAGAAATGCAATTATAGTTGTCTTTAGAAAAAGAAAATTTAAAAAATTGAGAAAGAATAAGAAGGCGAACAAATTTCAGCTGCAAGCAACAAAAAATGAATGGACAAACCGGAATGGTCAAACAAAAAAGGTAGTGAAGATGTTACAACTTTTACACTATGATCCAATTAGTTTGAACTTTCGGCACTACGCGAAAATATGATTACTAATTGATGGATGCGAGATACCTAATTTGAACAATCAACAAAACGCCTAAAACGAAAGAAACATTTGGCATTACGCGCTGGGAAACCACCTATGGGATAGGATCCGTGAAACTGCATTGAAATGCGTCTCGTCGTACGCAAAATGACCTTCAGAATCTCGCCGAAATCGTAGGCGGTGTGACACTGGGTCATTTGACGACGCATTCTCCAATGAAAACGAAAACGGTGAGAGATATTGCATCTCCGTCGTCTCGCCGGCGGAAGACGAAAACTGTCCATCCATTCGTCATCGATACAATAACTTTTCCGGCGATATATTGATGGTTACAACAATCAACAACAAAATCGTATTAAAATAAAGCCCACGCAATTTCTCATCGATGAAAGCAATGGTGCAACGACAGGATGGAATGCGATCGAGGGTTCTGGCTTTATCACTTTTGCAAATCTCTCCCGACAACCACGCATACAAGGAAAGAAAGAGGAGAAGAAGAGGATTCTCTATGAGGCATCACTTTGTTCACATCTTCACCGTCAGCGTCTGAAGAAAGAAACGAGAAGATTCTTATCGATCTCCACGATGCGACCATCGTCGTCCTGTGTCTGTCCCATTAGCAAAAGTTCAGGTATCGACGGTTGTTTGTGTTTGCTACTGTCTTGACTACAACGATACAACGCTCACACATCTGGAGATCGCCTCAACAAGAACGTCTGCATTGGTGACTTCAATATAGCTATTCTCAAACAATATGAACAAAAAGCAACTGGTCTAGAGATGTCGAACATTCTGAAGCAACTATGGACGAAAAATGCGAGGGCAATGAGAGAACGTCTCGGAATGAAAATTGAAACTGATAAGGAGGCTGAAGTCAGCAGATTATAAATATTCAACCGGCAATCACGCCATGTTAGAGTTGGTTGGGATGGTTTATCAATCGCCCCATATTTGGCGCATAAACATTCTTATTTTTTAAAACTATGAACGAAGCGGTCAGTAAAAGTCCAAAAAAAAACAAGAATCATAAGACTTACTTTCTCGATAGAATGGATGGATCGTTGTTCACGGATATACCAAGTGCCTCAAACAGTTCAAAATAGTTTGCAGTAGTGATGTAAGTCGGGGAGTCGATTGAAATGGATGACAGCGAATCTGAAAATCAGCTACAATTTTTAAGACTATGTTTGTTCAATTTCTACAGTCTATTACAATTCTTGTCAGAACAGCATAATTCACTATTGCAAAGATCACACGAATCGTACGATCATAGAAATTGCCGAGATCAATAATCAAGATAAAACATTCAATGATAATAAAACCTCCCGGAATTTTCGAAATTCTATGTCTCATTTATGCGCCCTCAAAAACAAGGGTAAACTTCACAGTTTGATTTCTCGTACTCTGCACCCAAAGAGACTGTTTGTTTAAAGCTTATTCTAAAATAGCGGAAAATGTTTGAGAATTTATGTGAGACTAAAATATTTGAATGACGGACATTTTGGAAAATGTTTGAGAATTCAATAAATTCATGACTTTTTTCGTAGTCTACTGTTTTTTTCAGAGAAGTTTCGAAAAATCCGAAATATTTCAAGTAAACCTTGATTTTGACATATTAAGAACTGTGAATCAGGTCAAATTTTAAAATTCCAGACTACATGATCTATGTTCGCTTTCGTGCTGATCAGCACACATTTACCCACATAAATGTGCCATCGTTATCGGTTTTTTGTTGTAATCATACGATTTTTTGGTAAACTTTGTATTCTCAAACCAAAAAATTAGAATTCACGTGAAGATTCCTCTAAATTAACCCCATGATAACTTGAATTTGCTCGTTTTCTGCTCCATGATCGTACATTTTTTTCTAATTTCAATAACAAAAACTGACGTACCTTTGGATGGCAATAAAACAATATCGTTATCGTTTTCGTGATCAGAACTGCTCTGCCGGAGAACAAGTTTCTCTGCAATATTAAGCGATTCAAGGCGTTTCTCCAATCGTTTATATATATTTGGAATTTCGAAAAGAAATTCCAAAGTGCACGAAATTAGTTAAAATTTTGAATAGGGCATTTTGGGAATTGAAAAGTAAAACTCACGTTTCATCATCACATTACTTCGTTTTTCCTTTGGCATCATTTTGTATAACAATCCTTGGTTTGGTTTACCCGTTTCACCCAACCTGAAAAATAAACATAAGAATCATTTCGTAACAATGCAAATGCATCATATTTGAAGTAAAGAGAGTAGCAGAAAAAAATCGATGAAATGTTGCGGACCACAACCGTTTGGCCCCACTTATTTCACTTGACACCACAGCAAAATGGGTTTTCTCCAGAAAAATCATATGAATTTCGAATCCGTTTCGTTTTTGAATGACCAATCCAATGGAACATGGAAAAAAAGGAGAAAAACTAAAAGAAAAAATGATAGTAAGAAATTCAAAGAGATGTGGCTGATCGAGCAACAATTGTGCACAATTTTTGAATGAGACGTTGACGCGCAGCGTAAAACATCGGCCATGTTGAAACTCGACCGTGGACTGCTCGATGTCTTTGTGAGCGTGTGTCCGCGCGAGATAGCGCACACTTTGCATAGGCAAATAAATCGTTTTTGAATATGCAGGTCTTCGCGCTATTTTTTGTGAATTTCTAATCCGATACTCTAAAAACAATACGTGAGAATCCGAATGTGGATGTCTTGTTGCCATGAAACAAACAAAACAATAATTCAGAATGCTCCGAATCCTCATGGAGACCATATGTTTCGTGAATTTCCATATATATATATAGTCAGCACAAAAAATTCAAATTTAGGATGAAATAAAAGAAAAATCCAGAACTTTTTTGTAGCCGTTAGGATAGCAAACATAAAACGTTGCTGGGTTGGCGGAACGCGAGACCAAATTTCTATTTGTTTAGAATATTGGTCAGAAAAGAGCATATTTTTCAATCTTTCGCGATGTTTTATGAAAAAGAACTTCACTTTCTTTTGTTTTCCATCTGTTTTTTATTTTTGTTCCTAATTTCTCACAAGGTTTGATGAATTGAAGTAGCTAACGACAAAGATCACATTTGAGTAACAAAAAGTATGCTAGCAAAGAAAAGAAAGAAACTTGTACAGTAAGTAACAAAGACTGAAACAATCGAGAATTCGACAAGCAAAAAGACCAAACAATCAAAAACATTGGGCGATTGAAAGCATGTGTGCATGTTGGAGGGGTCAACTGTCAAGAAACAACATATCAAACAGAAATGCCATTAATCTTAGGTAAAAAAATTTTTAAAACTAACAAAACAACCAGAAGTGAAAAATGGGAAGTTGCTAAATATATAAAATAATAAATTGAGCGATATTACATTATGTTTATATGTTATGGATAAAAAAAATTAATAGATAAATAATTGCAGTGGTTTTATCTAGTCTGGGTTATTTAGAGACTCATTGATAACACGTGAAATCGAGTTTGTTCAAAATAAAGCAGAAAAACAATCAATGTTCTTCACGTGAATTGATGTGATGAATTAGTTGTTCCGATTGAGTGACTTTGCTGCTCCACAAGAGCAAGTGCACCTGGAAGGTTTGTAAAACGAACATCAATATTGGAATATTTCGAATAATTTTTTATTGTTCAACTTTCATATAGTTTTATTTCTGTTTGATGCTCAATATCAAATGCTCAACGGGAAATTTTTATTAGTTTGAATAATAATCATAAATTTATATTTAAATACTCATTTTGAATAGTCATTAATTATACAAAATCATCTAATCACGTCGTGACAATTTTTCTTTTTAATTCATTGTACCTATTATTTATTTGTTTTTATTTTAAGAAAATTGGTGGCTATCAAATTTTCAAAGTGGAAAAACAATTAGTTCTCTCCGCTTTACGGTATTTTCCATTTTTTTTAAACGATTTTTCACATATTGTTCTCGAATTCCTCAGCTTTTTCTTTTTTTTACTTTTTCTTGACGGAAATAAATCTTTGAAAACATGGAAATACAGAAAACTTTATATAATTCTTAATTAGTGTTTCATCATTAAAATAGTAAAGAAAAGGATTAAATAAGGAAAATTTTAATGAGGATTAGTCATTTCAAACAAAACGCAACGAAATAGGCAAACAGGACACATTACAAAAAATGTAATAAGGCTGGAATTTTCTTAAATTGGGGGCATTTATCTTTGATGTATTTATGTTCACATGTTGTTCATATTATTGTTCAAAAAGTGTTAAATTGAAAACATTCAAACATGCACAAAATCATACTGAATTGGATGAAAACGAAATGAATTTAATATGAGTCCGAATGAAAAGGAAATGTGACAAAATTATTGGAGTTTCTGAATGAGCAAACGCAGAACTGTACAAACTAGTGTACAACGGACATGTTTTATGTAAACACTGATTTTGTGCAAATTGTAGCTATTTCTTGTGGACATAAGATGATAGACCGAATCGTCCGATTTCTTATGAAGTCTCTGGCAAAATGTGAGGCTAAACAGATCAACACCAAAAATTGAAATGTCAATATTTATTTGTGCTATTTGTTTTATTACTAAATCGGCACAATTGAATTAGTTTTTTCAGCAAATTGTGAAAATTATTATTCAGAACTGAATTTCTTGTGAATAAGTTATTATAGCATATGCTTTGCAGGTTTCGGAAAAAAATTGAATTGCTCAGGTAGCTCAAATTGAACAAAATATTCTTACAATTTTAAACAAACATTATTAAAAAGAAATTAGAAATTGTAATGCTAAATCATTTTCTGCTGAATTGCAACTCAACTTTTAAAGATGAAACATTTCATTGATGTAACGGCAATTTATTAAAGCATGTGCTAATTCGCCTGAATGACTAGACTAAATCGCAATTTGCACTATATAAATTTAAAATTATAGATTTTTCCATGAAATTTCCGTATCTCGAATTTGCATGGAACTCAGTCCTGATAGCTTATTATATCGCATTTTAAACCTACAGCGAGTTTCACATTTTTGCTTATCATTATTATATACATTCAATTGCACGGCCTCAATTCAATTTGAAGGTTGTTTCTGCTCAAAATGTTGAAAATGAAAAAAATTAACAGCCAAAGACATCGTTGGACATATTAATGAAATTTTTATTATGCATTCTTTTCAATTTTAATTTTAATTATTTTGCAAATTTTCTCGATTTAAGAGCCTTCTTCATTTGATCAATTTTAATATACATTTCGTCAAGAACCCATTATTTTCTCTAGCAATAAGCTTGAAATATGTAACGCTTTGAGTGTTTCGTTTTAAGAAAGAGCATTGAAATAAAGAGTGAATTAATATAAATTATTTATAAATTTGAGGATTTTCAAAGTACCGAATTTAGAAACATTTGTATAGTTTTAATATTCTAAAATTTAAAAAAATTAGGGTTTCTATTATTTCAGTTCATCAACATTTCGCTATTCGCTCTCCGAATAAATTAATGTTTAAATTGTATAGAGAGCATATGAGATAATACATATTAAAAAGAATCTATTAAGCTAGTAATTTTGTGGTAATTTCGAAAACCATTCCAAGATTCCAACATCACTGTTCAAACATTTATTTGCTTTATTTTCGCGCTTGTTTGCTGATATCATTTGGCACTGAAAATTCTTTTTTGTCTTTTCAGAAAAAATCGTAAGACCGCGAAGATCAATGTACCACTCATCATTCGAGTTTTAGTATTCCTTGAGGGAATCTATATTATGTGATATGCATCTTCAGTCATTTGTTACAATGCGTCAAACATCATTCGAGTGAAACAACGATGATGAGATTTGAATTGTCTTCTATGGTTCCTTTAGTAAATTATGCTCATAATTCAATTCAATTTCGTACTTTATTCCTTATAGTGGCCTAGTCATCTCGAATTTCCAATTGCTCGGAGCATGTCGAGATAATCAGATGCGGCATCGGATTACGCTCATTTTGGAATTTTTCCGAGATAATTTTTTATTCAAATTTCTTAACCAAAAACCAAAATTTGTCATCGCTTCTGGAAATGACAGGTTTTTTACGTTTTAGATAACGTTTTTCGCTATTCACCGTGGCCAATGATTCATTTTCGACGGAGTTACCCTTCTCAGATGTAACGCCATGAACCAAAGAATTTCTGGAAATATTTTCCCTTCAATTTGTGAATTTCTGAAGATATTCCTGAAATTCCTGTTTACTATAATTTATGCTCTGTTTTGTTATTCGATCCGCTCGAATTGGTGGTCGAGTGCATCTGACACATGACAAATGCAGCTCCTGATTTTGGGAGGAGCCATCGAAATGCTCATACATGGCCTGCAACGAGGAACCAATATTAAGCAAAGCGCGGTGCTCACCCAACTCGACACGCCCATCGGACGACTTCATTCTCGCGACATGCTCTCCTTTGTGCACGCGCTCATCCTGGCTCTCCTTTGCTCAATCGTATTCGTCGAGGCGATGCCAAGGTAATTCAAGACTTTACTAATGAGCATAGCAAGTTTTTCCTACTGGGCTGCATTTCCGCGCAAAATTTTATGTATAGCTCTATTTTTATTTTCGATGAGCTTAAGACAGAAATATTCTCGAAAGCGAAAATCATATCTCGCTGTAATTCCCCGAGGGAGCCGAGCTGAGAATTTGATATGAATCATATAAACAGTTTTTCCGCTCTTAAAGAAAATGGGAGTGAAGTCCCTGAGGAAATTGTTAAATAGTTTTCAGCACAAACACCAGCTGAGCCTGAAAGAATAAAACAAAATCGTAAAAAGTCTGAATTCATGTGAATTCAAAACAAGCAAACGTTCAGTCATAGTAAAGTATGAATGACGAAAAGAAACGTCAGCAACGTTTTGCCACCATTTAAGTCAAAATGCACACTATGATTTAAGCTTAATCGTTACCTTTCGTACCCATGAATTACATTCACTGACACTAAGGAATGGTAGCCTCAGGGGTTCAATTTATTATTATGATAGTATCTTTATACTAATATATGTGCAAATTCCCAAAAGACTTTGGATACCAAGACTTTTTAAAGCAGATATTAAACATTGGCAACTTTTTAGTGTCCGCTTTCGTCCAGCTAAAAAGGCCATGAGAAACTCATTAGTTCGATTCGGCAAGAGAGCCGGACCAATGACATCGGAAGACGTCTTCCTAGGTAATACTGAAATATTATCATTATCATTTAAAAATGATTGATTTTACAGGAGAGTCATATGGACCAGTTCCGGAATCGTTCGAGTACGTCCCAGAGAACAGCCGTTCGCCATCCGTCCTTTTCTACTAATCAATTCGAAACATTAACATTGTTTGACCGTCCCATTTGAACGATGATTGCATTCTAGAGAGAGTTTGTGAAAATGCTCGTGTTTTTTCAAACAATAAAGATCCGTTCTGGGAACGTTTCGTGCATAAAAGGAAACCTAATCGTACGGAAACAATTTCTGGAAGCATTCATACTGTGCCATTCATTTATTTTCTCATTCTCACATAGATGAAAATATTTCCAGTTTCAGTGTGAGCTTTTCACTTTGAGTAAAAGAATTCCCGTGAAAATTGTTTGTCGGACATCATGTCCATTATTATGAACGTCACTCTTTTAATTGTACCATAATTATAGGTACACTTTTTTGTACCAATGAGCTGAATCACGTAGTACCAAAAGTAATAACTTACTCTTGAACATAAAAATGTAATGTAAAAATTACTAAGGAAACCGTTGCCTGTTGTGCCTGGTATTCCTCTGCTATTTCAAAAAGAAGCGAAAACAGATTTCTCCTCAAATATTTCCATATAAACCGTTGTATACTGATCAAAAATGAACTCATAGGAAAAAAAAAAAACGCAAAAACAAAAAAATTTTATGCTTCCAATTTATTTTATTTTATTTTATTTTTCAGGGTCTACATCGCATTATTTCCAGATTCCCGGCTTGTTCGCTTTCAATTATTCATTTCATTTTCAAAATGCATTTTCATTTCATTCCTATAAAGCTTTACGATTTCGAATATTTCGCGGGTATTATTCTTCGAAAAAAATGGTGTCAGTAATTGTTGGTTATTTCAAGGTTATAAAACCCATGAAATAGAACAACTCGGCGCTTTTAAGCGCGTGAATAATATTGGACGGGGTCGGAAGCATGTGAAAATATTAGTTACCCTAGGATAGGGGAAACTCAAAAAAGAATGATTTTCAATTTTTGAAAATTGGAAAAAAATGTTAATGCTTACAAAGGCGACATAAGGAATGTACAATTTAGATATAAATTACATGGATTACACAACATTTGAAACAATCCTTGAAGCAAATTATATGCTATATTGACACACTAGTTGAAAATTTATTTGAATCATGACATTAAATTACCCAATGGTTTCAGTAATTACAACTGCGCTTGAAAAATTTTTCTAACAATCAATTTATACTTCAAACTAGTTTTGATATTCCAGCTAGATTAATAAGATCTCAAAAAGGATTTTATCAACTATCAATTTGTTTAAATTTATGAATATATTATATAATTATGTTTGATATTGTTTTGAAAATAACACAATTCATTGCATTGTTACAGTTTGATTCTCTTCGACGTTTGAAATTACTGAAATTGTTTAGGGATTCGTTTTAGCCACATAAGGATTTTTTTCGTTTTTTGCCTTCTATGGTAATTCTAAGATTGACTGAATAATCGGTTTTTCATTAGCAAGTGATTGTCTTTAAATAAATGAAAAAATTATTTTTTTTAATATACGCGTTTTTTTATTGCAAATATTGGTGATTTTTGCGATCCTCGCATTGAGATGCTTTTTGTCACGTCAAATCGTTTCCATCTTGCAGAAGATTTTTTGAGCGTTGACAACTGTTGGTTCGGCGAAAAGCAGCGAACATGAGAGATCGAGCTGTTGCCGACGTGCGTTCAGTGCATCTACACTCTCATGGCTTCACGAGAATCGGAGCAGCAATTCGCTGCTTTTGTTTGTGGCGAGTTCGGTGTAATCAACAAGGTCGTGAGGAGAACACAGACGCAGAGGAATATGTTCCGATGTAAACAACTTTTTGCCGCATTACAACAGTCAAGAGTGGGCTGATTGGTTGCACTTTTTGTAATGTTGAGCACTGTTCACACACTCATCAAAATGCGCATTTTTTGCACAATCATGTTAATCATTCCTTAATGAATAATCGAGAATAAGGAACTATCTTTTCTGACCTTGGAGCTCACGAGGAAAAAAAATGATTTCACATACTCGTGAATGTTTTATTCATTAAAATAATGCAAATCAACATGTATAATCAAATTTGCATGTTGGAAATTTTATGTGCGGCGGGACTTCAAATTTTCTGCAGGCTTTTATTCCAGGTGCATTGCAGTTCACTTCCGTCAATTATAGATCCCTGAAACTTTGTACTGAACAATCCTCGTGTCCGGAATGCCCTTCAAAAAGCCTACGGTGGCGGACAAGTCACTGAGAACATTACACCAAAGGTTGAAGTCCAACCGATAGAACTTCGGACTTTTGCAAAAAAAAAAGTGATAGATGGCACCTACAATTTGACGGCGGAAATATAGAGAAAATTCCTTGCTCATAGGTTCAATAGAATTGTATTCTGAGCACGTTTAAAACCAGACAAATATCTTTGCGAATCACTATAAATAATGAAGACAAGGATACATTTGTGTTGCCTAAAATAGTACCAAAATTTTACAAGAGATGCGTCGATAATCTGAAAGGATCAAGTCGAAGATTCTGCTAATATTTCCTCCCCCCCCCACGATAGTTAAATTTTTTAAATAAAATCGATTTTTAGCCGACAAAAGTTCCCACTGGTGTGTGGTTCTACCCGGCGCAATATACATGCCCAAGCTCCTACAAATTGTGCCATATTAAGTCTCTACGCTTTATTGAAGGCCGATGGCGGGGACTCAAACCGGGGAGGTACCAATCACCTACCATTTTGAATCACTACACCAACGGGCCCCGATGGTCCCAATAACATAATGCCAATTGGAGTTGCGTTTTTTCGTTATCTAGTCATCTCGTTTCTCGTGGTTAATGCGATGCATATGGTAAAATGACGATTATCAAAAAAAGATCCAGTTTTTGCATACTATAACTCTTTTCGTGTTTTCCTTTCACTGCAAAATCTTTCACAACAGAGTGAATGTTTTTAGAAAACTCAAAATTCCATTTGCTGGGATCGTTCAATGTCCGAACGCTGTGATACTAAGAAAAAATAATGTGCCCCGCCTACGGGTTGAAATGAGCCGGATGTTGAACGCTGAAAAGTATTCTTAAATCTACCGCGTTTTCTATACTAGCAAATTTCAGATGTCGACGAGATGTCTTATCTTTATTTTAATGCTGACGGGATTCGCTACTGCATACCCAAACTCAAAGCGATTTCGATGCAGCGAAAAAAATATGATTTTTATGCTGCATTTATGCTCAAAAAAATTTAATGATCTTGTTTGCCCTAGAATGTCCAAAGAGGGTGAAATGTAAAGTGGAACTGATCTAACTGATGTATATTCAATTATAGAAACGCCGACTGAATGTTGCAAGAAGAATGTAGGGTGCCGAATGGAGGAAATCGTATTCGTTTGTTGCAATGTCGAAAATTCAGCAAATCTAGGCGATTCGGTTGGACCTTATATGTATACACGTGAATATATGATTTTCAGGACGATCTTTCAGCTACAATGATCAGTGCTTAAATTTGGAAATAGCAAACCTTCTATAATTGCTTAATGATTTATAATGCCAAATAAATAGTTCAAGAGCTTTAATATTTGATTTTATTCTTTCAAACAAATGAAACTTATTCTGGCAGGGATACTATTAGAAAAATTTTTCCTAATTTTCTCAGAATTTTGAACCATGTTCCTGCATTGTAAAAATTTTGCACTTGGAGATAAAAACCGTGATAGGATTCGCTTCGTACTGATGAACTCTTATTCTTTGCCTAATATTTTATTAATATCGTTTTGACCTATTTTTGCGAATTTTTCTCTTATCTTCAGGTGTCGCACAAGACAAAAAATCGGTTAGACTCCGATCTCAGACGGGTACTCCAGTTCTGTCTACGGCAAATTGATCGTGTCAATCGTAATTTTTTTTTGAAACACGTTATTTTCTACCCATTCTTCTACACAATGTCCCGCCCTTCTTACACATTAACTAACGACTTTCCGAGTCATTTGGACTCAATTGCACCCACCTGGCAAATGACTTTACGCTCAGATTCCCTCCAAGTGCATCAGCGTTGAAATTGAATTTTCGTCAAATTTTGAATGAAGAATTTCAGGTAGAATGTCATCGCGCTTCATATTCTTTTGCATTTTCTTTTTGGCGGTTTACTCATCAATTAATGCGAATACCAACGATGAAAAAAGCGAGGAAGAAAGATGCGGTCGAAGAGGGTTCGCAACCCTGAAGAAGTCATGCAAAGCAATTACCAACAAATATCTTTGTTACAGCCTTTTTGTCTGTAAGAAGCTTTTGAATTGGGCATCTCTAGAATCAATAATTTAGCAAAATGGCCAAAATGCTGCAATTGTACGATCCCGGAGCTTCAAGCCAACTGTTGCCCAAATGAATTCGTTTACCATCTGGAATATGATGATTCTGAAGAGGATCATTCAAAATTACAAGAATCGCTGATGATCTACACTCTTGACAAGAAAGTTGAAGCTTATCGAGAAACAACTAATTGAGCATGTTCAATAGCACGTTTCACCTGAATTTGCGTTTGTTCGAGCCATTTCAAATTGTTGCAAAAAATTCTTAGAACTTTATAATAAATTTGTATACCTTACTGATCTTTAATTATTTCACTAAATATTCAGCTAATATTTTCAATTGTTTTGTTAGAAATTGAATGAAAAGTATTTTTGCCAGACGTCGATTTATTTATATATGTAATTGGAAAATTACTATGTAAATTGTTCAAATATATCGTATCAACTGATTTGAAGAAATACAGGAATATGTGGCGAGTTAGAAAACTTAGTGAGGGCAGTATAATCGGCTCTATAATGAGTAAGTTTACGGACCAGCGGATTTCATTAAACAACATGTGAATTAACTAAGAATTCCGCTCAAGACCATCATGCTCGTAAATCTACCCCCTCGACAAATGATATAATTTGCCGCTCGGCCACCCTCAAATGCGTGGTTTTTTCCCCGAGTTTTCATCATTTAAGTCCTTCAGTTTTCTGATTTTTTTTTTCATTTAAATAGGAAAAGTATTCCGACGACTCATTAAAAGTCTTTTCTTAGAAATTCAGTAGTCCACTATTCTTCAAAATTCCCTCAACTTTATTCATTTTTTTCTTTCTTGTGCGACGACCAAATACTTAACATTTCAATCCTCAGTGAATATTGTGGAAATCGCGCGACTGCGGTTTGCCCGTTCTACTGTAAAGTTGCGTCATATACGTGTGAATTGTCCGTACATTGACTCATTATTGATTTTTTTGCCAATTTGTCGCAGTCGCGCGACTTTGACAATACACATGATGGATTTTCGCGCGAACACGGCGATTGCGTTGTCGTGCTCTGTTGTTTATCGTTATATAACCAATCATTATATCTGCGATACCTTAACACCAAAGTACAATTGTTAAACAAATACGCCAAATGTGAACGTGCATCAACGCATGTATCGCTTTAAATGTTGATTTACATCAAACGGGAACCGTCCGCTCATTTCTCATTTCATTCGATTCGTTATTCTCTTTTCTCAAAAGATAATAACGAAGAAGGATGAGCAACAGCTGGTTTCAGTAAATTCGTGATCTCTACTTTGATCGATTACGTAAACAACATGTTGACAGAATGCGGGCACGCCCATAAGGGCGGAGTCGAGCAATTCGCTTTCCAAACGGCAAATCGGCCCATTATATCACACGGAACTCGACGCCGAGAATAGTGAGTTTTCAGTTAGCTGTTTAAATGCCTACTGTGCCATTTTTTTCAGGAAGAAATGTGCGGAAAGTGGATTTTGCTGCTGCTTCTTATTGCGTCTGTGTCCACACAGTACACAAAGAAGAGGCTCTGCGGAAGAGTCCTATTCACCGTCTTCGCAGATGTGTGTTCGGACGAACTCTCAAAACGACCCTGTGACACATATTCTATAGATGGAAGAAGTACAAAGCGATATACGCCATTCAAATTATTAATTTATTTGTTTGCAGCTTTTGCGAGGAGATGCTGCGGTAGCGGGTGCTCAATAAACGATATGATTGGGCATTGCTGCACGCCTGGTAATTTGAAGGACCTGCCAATCAATAATAATCTCTCATATTTCCGGTGGGAAGGAAAAACAGTATAGCCCTTGAAACGCGACGCTGAAGCAGAAGCGAGTTCCGATAATTGATGGGGAGAATCGCTCATTGGATAATTGAATATTGTAAATAAATAAATGATTCAAAATTAAATTCTTGTGTTACATTGAAAAAAAAAATCACGAGACTCTCACACAACATATGCACTGGAATCATAAGATCGACGAAAATATAGCTTCTGCCAAACATTTGGAATTCAAGGAGTTCTTCGTTCTGCATCATCGTAATCGCGTCGAGCTGTGCAGAAAAGAAAAAGAAGTTTTCCAACAAAATATTCCAGCGAAGTTCCTCTTTGGATTGCACCTTCAACCACCTCCTCAAAATTGTTTTGTTCTTTACGAGCTTTTCCTCTTGCTGAGATAAAAGAAGCTGACGGGAAAATGAGAATCTCGAAGTAAACAAATCAACTGTCTCATATTACATAGAAAATTTTGCTGGGTGAATGTTATCATTTTTACCTTGAAGCGTGATGAGTTGACAACCAATTCTGTTGAAGTGAGATGTTTCTTTTTACTTTCATAAAGGTACATATAATTCTTGAAATATACAATGGCAAATTTAGGATTTTCACTTTTTCAAATTGAAATATTTTAATGATATAGGATTTTCACGCATTCACAACTTCAGGCATTGAAAAAATTATTTTTTTTTGTGAAAAAAAAAACAGTAAATTACAGTCTTACGAACCTTTCTAATTGAAACATTTGGCGATGAGAAATCTTTTAAATTGAATAACTAGCATGAAACATAACGTACACCGTACATTCAGTCCGGAGATATGACTTCGGTTTATGTTTTTGAACATCAAAGCTTTTCCAAAGATTAAAATTTTCGTTTATATCACCCTAATTGGAAATGCAGATAAATTTCAACATTGAAAACTATTTTGAGAGTCGGTATAAAATTTTTAATATATTTAAAAAATTAAATAAGAAACCAGATTTGAAAAAAATGATTATTTTGAGAAATCTTGTTTGATCATTCATTCAAACAATCACGCAACAAATTGCCTATAAGCTATTGATTATTTTTTGTGTGTAAACATCTTTCCATTGCCTTAATTGTTTTGACTTATTAAAGTTTTGCAGCCTTTTGGATTAACAATTGGGGGTTACATTCACATATGCTCTCTAATCACAAGCGGAAACTAAATTATTGTGATTGTTTCACGCTACGTATTGCATCGGTTTGCTCATGTCATTCCTTTTTTCAGATTCTTATTTTCAATTGAAGTCAATATTATGACTATAATTTCCGCTTTTGTATGACGACGCACTTAGGAATTTTGACGAAAATTTGAGGTAGAAGTATGCGTTCAACTAATAGTTAGCTTTTTGTACAAAAATTCAATAATGTTGTTAAAACTTCAAAAATAAAAAATCATTTGCCACTTTTCTTGATAAATATTAGATTTTTGATCATGTTTTGAGAAAAAAAAATTACAAGCGCAAAAAACATGCACTTTTCTCCGATTTTTGATTATTTATACATACCGTTTAAATCATAATTTGAATTACCACCTCGTAAACGTGTGATGGTTATTCAAGGTGTTCGTTATTTGGTAATTACCAAATTTAAATTCATCACATCATTTTAAGTGACAATTTTTTTCCAACACTACAACAACGATTATATTCTTAACTGAAAAATTGTACTTCAGAATTTCACAAAAGAAGATACCAATATTCGGCCAGCGAGAAAGAATTTTCTCAAATAGTAAATTTAAGCTAGGTTCTTAAATTATTGATCCGATTGCATGAAAACGCCAGTTTTCTACTGGCCTCAACATGTTATTTTCTTGTTATCATAAGTATTAAAATAGTTTTTGTTTAAGTAAAACAATAATTCTAAACCTATTATTTTGCTTAAGAAATGGTGTTTCGAAAAACAATTTTAATGTATACCTTGTAGCTGAGATTATTCATCATTTAGAAAATTCATATTGAAAAACAAACATATTATTTTGTTAGTCATACGAGTTCTGTTTAACTTTTTTGTGACATTTAAAACTTACAATTAAATTTACCATTTTCTTTCAAATGACTCACTGACATTCTAGTTGCCTTTCCTACCCTGGCCGTCTCACATAGAAATTGGCAGCCACGCCCATCCACCCTTTTCTGCAAGAGGCGGAGTCAAGCTTTTGAGTCGGCAAACCCTCACGAAAAACATTCATTCGAGCCGGCACAGCACTCTCGCTAACACTTCCCCTTATTCCAAACCCACTAAAAGAAAATGATTGGAACAAAGTTCATTATTATTGTGATCCTTCTTGCCACCGTGGCAAGCCAAACGCAAAAACAGCGGTACTGTGGATGACGGATGATTGAGATGTACGCGCAAGTGTGCACAGAAGAAGTAGCGGAGCGCGCATGCGTCATAGACCTGGACAATCGTGTAGGACTATCGGAGCTCTGCTGTTGGAAGGGATGCTCAATTAACGACATGATGTCGTACTGCTGCACTATGCGTAAGTTCAAAAGAAAAGGGTTTGTCAACTGATTGACCAATTTCATTTCAGCCGAACGCAATAATGTGGAGAAGGTCGATGATAGTCAACCGATTTTTCACTTCAAGCAGCGGATTGAAGACGAGCTAAAAGAAAGAAGGAAACAGATGGACATGTTAGATCTTTTCAAACATATTAGAGAGGATTTTCGCGGTCTAATGTGAATGTTTGATCGGTTGAAATTAGTTAAAACCGGATAGATATTGTGGGTACAAAATATTTCACCTGCAATAAATATATTATATTATTTCTTGTTTTGTAAACACGAAAAGAAAACGAGAATCGGAATGGATATAACGAATAGAAGTACATTGGAAAAAGCAATATGTTGACGCCAGGAAATAATGCAGATTCGTTTCACATCCATTTTGTGTTTTTCCGAGATCCTTCGATGCTTTCTCCGGAATTGTTTTGCGAAGCTTATGTTCAATTAAAATAGCTCTTAGAAATGGTTGGTTTATGAGAAATGAAAATGAGAAACGTTCTGCTCTTTCTAAAATGCTCAATTGTACATCTCGTTCATCACGCTATGCTGAAAACAAATTGAAAGTGTTTTGATGATTTTTCATAAAAGTATCATGCAAACCTTTCGACATTCTCAGTTTTTGATACTTGAAACCTACCGTAATAATTCTCTGCAAACTTCATGAGCTACTATGTATATTCAATGAGCATTGCCATCCATTTGACTACAAAGTTTAAAAAAGCATGTAAGGTTTTTTTCGAGTTGGATTCTCAATAAAAGAATAGCAAATTATATTTTTCTTCTCTCAATGTGTTTGACTACTCAATTTCAACGCAATTAGTGAATGAAAAATGCTAATCGCAGTATACAATGTTTGAGAGCGTACGCACAAAATAAACGGTTGTTTGGGCTTTTTTCGACCAAAAACATTCTGTGCAATTTTCCTATCTAAACTTGTGCTTTCTGTGATATTCTAGGAATTAATTATTTAAATATATGGTTTTTCAGTGGGCACTGCATGAAAATAACACATTTCGTGATAAAAAAAAAAAATAAGATATTCTGGTAAATATTATTATATCGTGCTGCACGATTCGTCCACATAGGAATCCTTAATGTGAATATATTACGATTTTGTATTTTTCAGCTCACCTTTGAAAAAGTGAGCGTTTGGAAACATCATGTTTGTAGCTTTAAAAAATTTAGACAACGTCCCAGATACTCAGGAATGATTGTTTTCTAGTAATGAATTAAATGCATGATGCGGCTAGAAGAAAAATGGCTGGAACTCTGTGACACAACCAAACTTGTCTACACAACAAGTAAGCAGCAACATTTCCTTAGAGAATTCCGATAAATCTGTGAAGCATTTCAATCATTTAATTTCTTGCTCTTCTCCTCATTTTTTCTCGTTTCTCTTTCTCTATGAGGTTTTTGCTTTTTGGTTTTCAACTTCCTCAAGCCAAACTCATAAACAACATGTGTGAATAACTTTGACGATGTTTTCTCAACCAATCATGTGTTTTGTACATTATTGTGAGAAAAAAAAACGAACCATTTATGATTGAGCTACGTCAGCGAAACCAATTTCCGCTGCTGTACGGATTCATTTTTTGCTCATCGAGAATGGGGTTAAATAAGTGGAACGAAATGGGCCATCCGGCCAATTATGTTTTTTTTTTCCTTTCTTTATCGCGATGGGCAAGTGAATTTATGAGCGTTTTTTGAATAATACAGCGGCGCCCACATCCAATTTGTCCCCTTTCTTATGGTTGGTTTGTTTCACATAAACTCCAAATGTCATCTTTTGACGATCTCGAAAATTTCGAAGTGCAAGAATGAGAGAAACGTCTTTTGTGCCATCATCGGGGTTCACACTGATCATCTCGCATCGTGTACATTTACTAGTTACCTGCAAGGCTGAAATTAATTAATTTTATAGAGAAAAAAAATACTTGAAATTCCTTTTCTTCAATTGTTAGGAAATCGATAGAATCTTCAAGAAATGGCGGCAATCCTCGAATAACAATATTCGAGCGGAATCGACGAATTACTTCATCCATTGGAAGATCTGAACGAGGATATCTGATTTACAGGGTGTCATTTAAGTTCCCGCACAAAAGTTTGACGCCATGTAGAGCTTCGCTAACGCACTTTTCGTACACCAATACAATTTATTTTTATTGAACAAGGTATATTTTACTTACTTTCCAAGTTTCACCTCATTCGGATGTGCTTCCGAGAAACGGCGAAGGCTAACATCCATCGCGCTTCCATTATCGAACTTCATAAGCAAAATGTGAGCCCGAGAGACATCATTCAACGGGTCGGTGTGCCTTGTAGAACGGTTTATGACACCATCAAACGATTCAAGGAGCAAAATACGACCAGTGACCGTCCCAGACAAGGAAGACTCGTCTCAGTAACCACTCCTCAGAAGATCAACGCCGTCAAATCGAGGATCAGCCGAAACCCCCACAGGAGCATGAGAAAGATAGCGTCAGACATGGGAATGAGCATCTTCGCTTTGGAACAAATCGTCAAAACGAAGCTTGTACTGACCCCATATCGTGTCCAAAAAGCGGCAATTCTATCGGCCGTCAACAAGCAGAGACGCTTCGAAAAAGCAAAACGACTTCTTGCTCGCACGCGGTCTGGACAAGATCTCGTCACTGTCTTCTCCGAAGAGAAGCTATTCACTGTGGAGACGGCATTCTACTCACAAAACCATTGAGTACTTGCCCAGACATCCCAGCAAGCTTCTGAGAAAGGAAAAACAATTAATCGAGCCTCACATCCTGCCAGTGTGATGGTTTTCGGTGCCATCTGCTCAACCGGGATGTGCCCCCAGGATTTCGTGGATCAGGGAGTGAAAATGAACAAAGAAGTCTACGTTCGGGACATTTTGGAGAAGCATGTGATGCCCTGGACCCAAACGCATTTCGGTGGGCAGATATGGGTCTTTCAGCGGGACGGAGCACCCGCCCACACTGCCAAAACTACTCAGGAGTGGTGCCAGACCCATTTTCCCGACTTCATCAAGTCATCCGAATGGCCTGATTGCTCCACAGATCTGAAACCGCTTGACTTTTCCGTGATAGGGTCTTGCAGGAGAAGGTCAACGCAAAACCCCACTCAAGTGTAGAGGCTCTGAAGAGGACATTACTGGCGGAGTGGGACAATCTTTCCATCGAATACCTGCGTACCACAGTCACATCCTACCCGAAGCGTCTCCGTGAAGTCATAGCTGCGAAAGGAGGCCGAATCGAAAAGAGTTAATAGATAATTATTTGTTGTACTATAGATAAATAATATTTTAAGTCTCGTTTGATTTGGACTTTTAGTTTCAGAAATATACGTCTTCAAAGTTGTGCGGGAACTTAAATGACACCCTGTATATTCAAATTTAGTGAACTATTACTTATAGCATTTGCTAGCAGAAGAACGCTCGACTCATTTATGAGAAGAAATGGAGAATCATTGACTAAACTGCGACATGAATCTAAAATTGTCATTTATGCGCCATTCAAGATAAGAATTACACCTTGAGACACCATTAATAGTCGGCAATCTATCATGTCTAACGCATCATCCAACCATTTTCCAACTTTATCGCCACAATCCACAGTTGGTACTCTGAAAAATATGTGGCATACGTCAAATATGTCGTTGGTGGGTGATTCAGAATCAACAATTCTATTTTTGAAATTGTTTTCCTATTCGTTGAGAAGTCACACAAAACGTAGTAGATTTTGCTTAGAATCGGATATTATTAAACACAGGTTAGCCGTTACGTAATCTCGTGTGAAAATAAAAACCTTCCCACGTTTCATACGTACTAGAAGAATTGTCAGTGAAAACAAAAATTGCGTTTCTTGGAAAATCTAAAACTTACTTGTTTCTACAAACAATAGAGTCCATATTTGTTTCTAATGACACACTTAATGGTATGGCAATATTCTCATTTTCATCTTTTACTGCTAGTTGTAATGTGTCATCGATGATCTTAAAAAAAATATTGATGAATCTGAAATGAAATACATCGCATTTTTATTCCTGCCTTCGCACTGATTCGACAAAGCTCTGGATGAGTTTTCAAACTCAACGTCATATCGTGTTGCACAATCATAAATTCTCGATCATATTTAAAACCCTTATGAGTGAGTTCACAACTGCAATTCAAAATTGAAAAGAAACTGCATCTAATCAAAATTTAATCAACCTTTGGTCTCCTTGAACAGAGCAGCTTTTTATAGGATACCTAAAAATTTGGGAAATAATTGGAGAATAGTCTTCCATATGAATTTCAAAAGGAATCGTTGCTGGATTTGACGAGCTCGCGATAAAGCAAGTATCAATCAGCTGCTCCAATGCATGAATATCCTGAAAATTGTATTATTATAAAATTGTTGAAATTGCCATCATTTACCGCAATATTTGATTGTCTTCCAAACGAGATGCGGACGGCGCCTGTAGGTTTTCCGTCAATAATATCCATTTCGTCGCCACATTGTTTCCCTCTCTAAAAAAATTTCAATCAACCTCAAAAAAATTGGCTCGAACGAACCAGCATGTTTGACTGCAAAATATTTGAAGTGAGATTTAAGTATTTCCTACAGGCTCCAACATTGCAAAAACATCCTGTTCGCACATCAATGCCGAAAATTGCGCATAATTTTTCAACCTGAATATGTATTTTTTAATGACTTTGGAACTAAAGAGCTATTTTTTGACTTCATTATAGCCGTAGTAACCACCATCCGGCCTTTTTAAATTAAATGCGACTATTGGCCCTTGTTTCTCAATACTTTCGAAAATTTCCGGATTTTGTGAATAAATTTCGACCGCCGGTTTCCCATTTTCGTGCTTTTTCGATTTCATCATGTCGAATGCGAGTTTTGCAAGCTTATACGTTTCACGTTGTATCTGACTAAGTCCTCCTAAAAAGACAATCATATTACATTCAATAAATTATTGAAAATGCATACCATATCTCTTCAAATCCGCAAATCCTTTTTGTAGTTGTGAAATTGCGTAAAAATTTAGTGTTCCGTCCTCAAATCCGGATTCAAACTGCTTCGGATTATAAAAAAATGTGTCTTCTAGAACACTTAAGACAGTTCCGCCAGCAAATCCTTTGCGATTTAATCTTATAAAAGCATCTGAATATGAAAAAAAAAACACTCGGGGGTTCTAATATAAAGAAAAGATTCGAACAACCTTTTCGAACTATTAAAGCTCCTATACCAGTAGGATATCCAAATATTTTATAAAAGGAGAATGCGAGAAAGTCTGGTTTGTACGTGGATAAATCGATAATTGATGAAGAGACAAAACTGGCAGCATCGAGACATACGGACCATCCTGAAATTGCCCCACATTATTGAATTTGGTCGACTTTGTTAAAGTGCATAATATTGAAGGTTATTCATCTTTCCCAGAAGAATGACCACAAATGATTCTAAAAAAAGAGAGGACCAAATTTTGGAAATAAAAATTTTAATCTCAATAATTTGGCTTTTTTTAAATTACAGACTAACGAGAACATACCTTTCGCTTGCAATTTGGGAATATAATCCAAACAATACTTTTTTCCACAAAAATTGCTCAATGCTGTCAATACGAACAAGCTGTTTTTTGCTTCAGGTATCTCCGATGCCAATGAATCTTCTGTAATACAGCTAATCGACTTTGCCTAAACCAAAAATTTACTTTAAACAATCAGATATTAAAGCAAAACTTTTGTTTGCACAATATGCCGCAATCCGACAACCGAATGATGAGAATCGTACAGATATGCAAATTGGGAGTTCATCGCTTTCAATTCTCTTTCAATTCTTGTGATCTCTCCTCCATTAATTGATTTATTACCAAAGTTGAAGTTTTCTGCGACTATTTTCAGCGCATGCGAAGTGTTCGCAGTGAATATTACAGAGTATTCGTCATTTGTGGTGTTAAAATGGCGCAGAACTCTAAACATTTCAATTGAATATTGAAATTTGTGTTTAATATTACCTCAATCTTGCCGAATCTACAATTTGTTTGGTTTTCAAAGAAGTTGTATGATGAGAGTGTGGATTTGCTAAGATATTCGTCTTCATTAAATACGAAATTTCTTCAAGTTGAATTGAAGAAGGCAAAGCCGCCCCAGCATGGTCGAGATACGGCATTTCGGTCTAGAATACTGATATTAGAACCAAAAAAAATCGTTGCCTATTGATTCTTGATTAATAATCATATCTTATCTCTCAAACAAAAATGTGATAATAAAAATCGTTTGGTTGTTTGAAGTTATCATTCTGTTCCTATCATATTGATTGTTACCTATTCTTGTGAGTTTGAATAAACCGATTTGCATGCGAGTTAAAAATAAAATGGAGAGGCATTTGATAGCAAGTAAAAATGATGATATTGAAATTGTTCACAATTGGTGATATACCAATCTGGTGAACTAGTTTCCCATGCGAGTTAATCGCAACTGATAGTAGGAAGTATTTTTCCTTTTAATATTGGTGAAAATTGATTGTAAAAAGTTAAATCTTAGCACCCAACTTTATTTATATATTATTTATAATATTTTTAATAAGTTTTGTAAAAAAAAAAATCAATTTTTGGCATTTCAATCCTTTTAAGATTAAGGTATGCATATATTTTTCATTAATTCGCTTCCTTGCGATCTCTAATGTCTCAAGTATAATTACTGCTTTCAAACCGCGTATTTACTTGATGAATTGTTTTTCATTGACTCGTTAACAGTTGGCGATGTGCAGCAAGTCTGCTCTATTGCACAACTCCTCTTGTGAATCTCTTGTTAATAATTATTACTGTGCACGGGTTATCAACATTCAAAAATTGATGCTCAATTCAAGATCCATTTTGCTGAACGCCTATCGTGCAAATTTGCCAAGAGCGGTTGCCATGTCGTCTACTAGTTTCAATCCGGTTCCAGCGACACGTGTAGAGGACCATAAGGTGTCTATTTGGTTAGTTTTTCACTATATTGAGGTTTTTGTAGTTTCATATTGTTCCAGGGTTGAGTTCACAACACTTGCGGCGGAATGCCAAGCAGTCAATCTTGGACAGGGATTTCCGGATAGTCCAGCACCGAAGTTTGTAACAGACATTCTTAAGGAGATCGCCAACCATCCTGAGCTCCCGAGTTGCCATCAATACACTAGAGGTAGCAATTCGAGTTGACATAGTTAAGATTTCATTTCAATTTAGGTTATGGTCACCCTTTACTTGTATCAATTCTGGCTAAAATGTACAGTGACTTGTATGGAGTCAATGTCAATGCGAATGATGAGATTTTAGTGACTGTTGGAGCTTATCTAGCTCTTTATTATTCTTTTCTTGGATGGATCAACAAAGGGGATGAAGTATTGAGTGAGATTAAATTGAAAATATTAAGAGTTGATTGATAAATAAACAATTTCAGTCATCGAACCAGCTTATGATTGCTATTACCCTCAAGTCAAGTTCGCTGGTGGAGTTCCAGTCCCAATTGTGATGAGATTGCCGAAGGATGCTACTTTTGCTTCCCAATTTACGATTGATTTCAACGAAATGGAGAAAAAGATCACTAATAAAACGAAAATGCTAGTTCTCAACAACCCTCATAATCCAACAGGAAAGCTGTTCTCGCGTCAGGAGCTCGAAAAATTGGCCGAGATTGCAAAGAAGCACGATCTTCTTGTTATTGCTGACGAGGTCTACGAATTTCATGTTTGGGATAAGAAGGATATGATCCGATTTGGTCGGATTTCTTGTAGTGTCAAAAGTTTCACTGAATTATATTTTAGCTAGTCTTCCTAGAATGTATGAGCGCACTATTTCAATTGGAAGTGCGGGAAAAGCGTTTTCAGTTACTGGTTGGAAACTTGGATGGGCAATTGCGCCAAAGAATCTTCTGGAGCCTCTTAAGGTTGAATTATGAAGTAATTGAAAAATTACAAAAATTGTAGGCAATTCATCAAAATTGTGTTTTCACCTGCTCGACTCCAACTCAACTGGGCATTGCACAAGCATTTGAGAAAGAGTAATTTAAAAATAATCAATAAGCGATATAATAAAACATTCAGTTGGCCGAAATTCCACACGGACCCTCAAAATTCATATCTTGCCACTGGACTTTCAGGAGAGTTGCTCGCCAAGAGAGATAAACTGGCTGAAATGCTTCGGTGAGATGGCATCGCTAATTTCTATTATCATCGACATTTTATGCAGAGAGGGAAATTTCCGTCCAATTCTTCCAGACGCTGGTTATTTCATGCTTGCTGACTATTCGCATTTGAAAAAACGTAAGCGAAAATTCAACTTCATAGTTTAAACAAGAGAATGATTTGAGTTCGTGATTTCACATCGCCTGATGATCCAGATGATTTCGTGTTTTCGAGATGGTTGTGCCGTGAAAAGAATTTGGCCGTGATTCCTCCATCAGCATTCTATTCTTCTATGGAGGAGAAGAGAAAAAATGACGATTTGGTTCGCCTTTGCTTTTTCAAGGTGAGATTTATTAAATGTAATTATGTATGTAATTGAAAATCGATTCGCTCTTGTGCAAATTCGTTTTCAAGTCATACATTTTGCAATACATATGAAATTACTTTTTTGAGAATTCCCCATGGATATTAAACAAAAATCACTATATTTTTACAATTGTTCAAATTTCGTTATTTCAGAAAGACGAGACGCTCGATGCGGCAAGAAAAATTTTGCAGGATCTTGGACGCGAGACTGAATAATTTTGTTTGATTTTATCTATTACTGGTGGTGCCATAGATCTGTTTCAATATAAGAAGCGAATAAATTTATCCTAGGGTACAAACCGGCATACAAGATCAATTCACCAATGGTTCCACATTTCCAAATTGACGATCAACATTACTACCGTAACCATTCTCAAGTGGTTATCGTGTTGTCAAACCAGAAAATAACTAGTCAACTCGAACGATGACATTTAAAAAAATTTAAAACTAATTGTCTCTCCATATTTGTTTTTTTGTGTGCGGCGAAGTTCCTTTAAGAAAGTACAATTATAACCGGTTTCTAGTGATAAAGTGACATGAAAGAAACGGAAAACAGTTGGAAACAACTACTATATTGAGGTTGTGTCATTTATTGTGAATGGCAACATACATCACTTCTTCTCGTCTCTCGTCATTCTCTGCAAATTATATGGGACCGTATATTATTCCAACCGTTCACTTTTCGCAAGTTCTCATTGTATACGAAGAGTATCAATAGATGATATAAACAGTACCCTTGAAAAAAAATAGATAATAATCTTCTGTAACAAAACGGTTTATGAATGATTTTGATAACTGTTGAACATGTAGAATAAAATTTCCTATAATATTTAAACCTTGAGACTTTATTCAGATTCCCTTTCTTCAACGTCGAATCCCTTTAAACGATAGTGTGATTCCATTGATTTACATTACATATATGTTCATACCGGTTTTCTTTTTTTCTTAAATTTCGACTAACCATATGATTCTCTTTAACTGATCTCATTCTTCAATTTGTTGAAGGATGGCAAGTAGTCAGATATCTCAAACTGAGAGGGAGAAAATTAATAAACTTCGAACACTTGTGAAGGTATGCATTTGGTATTTTCCAATTATTATTTAAAGATATTTAGGATGCTCTTTCGGAATACTACGACACCGATTTCAATTTGTTGCGATGGCTACAAGGACACAATAGTCTGTCCATAGAAGAAGTCGCAAAAAAATTGCGACATCATTTAAATTTAAGGTAACTGTCAAATTAATCCATGAACAAGTGTTTTTTTTTTTAATATCAGAAATTCAACCTGGAATCTTGACGAAATGCACAAGGCTGATCGTAATCATAAAATCCATCATCATTGGAAGTATGGGATCACCGGGAAATCAGGAATTTTGGAAAACGTCATTGTTAACATTGAACAGGTTTTTTTTCATAAATTTTTGTAGAAGCGTATAAATTTTCCAAATTTTAGTGCGGCAAAACCGACTATTCCGGAATGATGGAATCTTATTCAGTTTCTGAAGTGATGCGAGCAAGACTTGTGGATCTTGAACAAATGCTTGCTGCAGTAATGAAAGTCGAAAAGGAGACTGGTTTGTCTTCTTAATATATTTGCAATTCTACAATTGCTTCAGGTAAACAAGCCTCGATTCTCTATGTAATGGATATAACGGGTTTGGAATACAATAAAAAGTTGTATGATCTTGTGACCGGATCAATGAAATCACTTGCCGATTTCATGGCTGATCATTATGTCGAAATGATTAAGGTATCCGAAATGTGAAATTAATCGGAGCTACGTTTTATGCAGTTTTTCGTGCCGGTTTGCGTTCCCAGTTTTGCCTACGCATTGTATACCGTGGTGAGGCCTTTACTACCAGAAAAGACCAAGGACAAGGTACATTTTTTTCGATGCTCAAATTTGCTTGATAACAACATATATATATATATATATATATATATATTTATAATGAAAATTATTAATTTTCAGGTTCGATTGATATCTGAGCATCAGTGGCGCGAAGAAATTCTCAATTACGCACAAATTGATTCATTGCCTTGCACTTGGAATGATGATAACCACAAGTTCCCTGCAAAAATCGATCTACCAGTTCCATATCCTTTAGATGGTTATTACTCTGCAAAAAATCTCAAGGTTAGGATAACATGTTGATATTACAAATTTCGATTTCAGCCGCCACCAAACACAGAATCGATAACTGTAGTTGCTGGAAAAGCTCACGTTCTCACAAAGTTTTTAAAGAAAGGTGATATATTGAAGTGGTGGGTCCGAGGAAATCGCAATTTTGGCTTCGGTGTGTTTTGGAGTGAAGATGAAAATGTTGCCGATTTCTTCATGTAAGATTTCTCACAATGTTCCATTTATTCAATATTTGCTTAGAGCAAAACAAGCATTTCCAAGTTTTCTTTGGATGCCAGGGCCTACAATCGTCCCTCTTGAAGATTTATTAACAGTTCCAAAAGTAATGTGCCACCTATCAATAAAAATTATCATATCGAATTGCAGGATGCATATTATCATATTTGGGTTAGTAATGAACGTTCATGGTGGTTCAGTCTCAACGCACATCTTGCGGTTGATATCATCAGTATTTCGTGAATATATAAAATGTATATTAACAACAATGTAGGAACGTGGTAGAAATGTTTCAAACAAAAATAAAGGTTCTTTGGAGTTTGAAGAAGAGTTCCCAAAAAAGGATAGAGCGGAGGGTGAGATTTTCCTCCAGTATCACTTGTCTCGTTCTCGGAAAATATTTTTTCATTTCCTTTGTCTACTCAAAATCTTCGGAATATTCCATACAAATGCTTCAATTTTAATTCACTAATCATGTTTGAATCTCAATGAAGTAAATCGATTCATAGAATTCCTAGACTGCGTCTTAAAGTGAACGAGCTATCAAATATTCTTTATGACGTCTTGAGCGAATTCGGAAATAACTTAATTAGCCAAACTTTGGTCGACCTCTTGGGCTACAAAATATGTTGTTAAATAGATTCGTTTCCCATCATTACCTTCATCTTAGTAGTCCTTATTTGTCTGCCCTTTTGAGGAATAGAATCACAAATGATTCGCTAACATTTATGCTTTAAAAGTGAGCTAATAAATTGCAAGTGTCGCGAAGAGCTCAAACGATTCAACCGAAGAAGCCAACAATCCGAGTGCACTTTTCAAGGCAGACTTAAATTTCGAAATCTAGACGTCGTCACCTAATCAAATCGAATTTTTCTTGTTTTTTTTTCTTGTTAAACCAATTTTGAATTCAGGGGCTAATTTTGGACCGATTCAATTTTGTCTGGCGTTTTTACATCAGCAATATGTATATGCATTTTGTTGGAATTTCTGGAAATTTTTCAGAAAAAATATCCAATAATTGGGTTGTTAAACTAATGTAGCACAAAGACATGAAATCTAGAAAAATTGAATAGTTGTGGTTTTCTAATGATCGCAAAAGATTGTAACCAAACATCAAGAAGTTCAAAGTTTCATTTCAAATCGATGTGCATCAGAATTGGTTTAATCATACGAAACGAGACCCAAATAACATTTTCGACAATTGTTTAAGCTGGGTGCACTTTTTTTTCGAATCGCAATGAAGATTTTCTTTTTTCCTGTTGTAATATCTTTGAATCGTTTTTTACCGAAGGATGATAAACCCGGCAATTTTTCAATTATGTTGAATAATGGAAAATATGTAAATCTCTTTTGATGGATACTGAAATTTTTATATTATTTCATACTCATCCAAATAGCAATATAAACAACTCACTGAAAGAAATTCTTGGTGAATACAACAAAAAAATTTTTGGTGATATTTTTTGCATGTGTTTTTTTTGAAACCGGTTATTGTTCATTCAAAAATTTTTTAAATAATTATTTGTTCAATGATTAACATCTAAGGATACTAGATTTGAAAAAAATCAAATAGCAATCATCCCTTTGCTGTTTTCTGCAATATCGATGCTAATTGTCATTCTTGATTACTGTAACTCCGTGGTATCTTAAAAATGTGAACCATGTAGATATTAACACTTTCATCTTATTCAATTTTCTAACCAAAAAGTGCAATGTAACAAGTACATCCATGTTTTGTTTTTTTCCTGCTTCCAAAAACAGCAATGTTTGGTTTGAAATTCGTCATAAAATATTTTGAATTCAAATCGTTAGCGAGTCTTTGCCGCCGAATTTTCTCGCTTCTTGCTCTCAGAGCATTTTATTGTTATTTTCATAGATTGATCGATGACATTAAATTTGTGCTGTTCAAATGACAGACGGATTGTGACACGAAGACGCCACTAATTTGCGCAATTGCATAAATTAAAATAACTTTTCGTTTTTCCATTTTGATGGCTTGTAATTTGCAAAAAAAAGAGAGAGAAAAAACAAGACATGCAAAAGTGGGCGGGGCTAGAGCTGGCATGTTTGAATGAAAAATTTCTTTTCTTGCTCAATAATAATATTCGAAATAATATTCGAACTCCAAAATTCATCTATTTTTGTTTATTCCCACGAATTCCTCTCAAGCTTGTTCATCCAAATAATATTGCCATTTTGAACCTTTATTTGGCATCATAAATATACGTTTTATAATTAGCTACGAACAAAATGCACATCTATATGGAGCACATCCCTCATTACGATTTCCTTTTTTTCACATTTCTTTAATTAGTGACTTCCTATAGCACTTTACTGTAAAACTTTGTGCACAATGATGTTTGTTTGGAAGAAGCCTCATATTATGACGTAAATTTCAGTGCGATGGTCTCGTTAGTTCTTAAAATAATTCTGCGTGCGTGGAGAATCTAGGCTTTTTCAAAAATCCATGTAGACAATCACACAATGAATGCTTACATTGGCAGAAATATCAATTGATATTAAGATTCGATGAGAGATATTCACTTGATCGTGAATACGACATTCTTCGTTGACTATGCGGTAGATTTTGTTCATGAAGTGAGCTTCGTGGTGTAATGGTCAGCATGGATGCCTTCCAAGCATTCGACGGGGGTTCGATTCCCCCCGAACGCAAGAATTTTATCAATTTTATCACTAACGCGCTTTGTTTTTTCGATATCAATTACGAAATGACATCTCTATACAGCCTTTCACATAAAAATACAATTGTACTTTTTCAATAATAATAAAAATGTGTGTCCCATTCGATTACAAAGAAAATATTAACAAACTCCGTGATTAGTGGAATATATTTTATGATATATTCGAGCTATTATAAAACGTTTCTTTCAGTTTGCGAAGCGACTATTTCAAGAGCTATTCAAATGCAAAAAAATGATTCTGCGTTCGGGGGGAATCGAACCCCCGTCGAATGCTTGGAAGGCATCCATGCTGACCATTACACCACGAACGCTCATATCTTTTTCGAAATATGTTGTGTAGATATGACACTTGGTTTGAAATATTATAATCCAACGCATTATGCATTCATTCTCTCGCCGTCGCGCTATAATGTCTTAACGACTTTCCATGCCTCCGACATGTGCGTTCGTGGTGTAATGGTCAGCATGGATGCCTTCCAAGCATTCGACGGGGGTTCGATTCCCCCCGAACGCAAGATATTTTTTTTTTTAATTTCGTTATCCAATAACTCTATAAATGTAGTCACGAACGGTTATGTCTGAGCAAAATGGTGATAAATATCGCAAAGAAAGAGATTAAAATATAGATTGTTTCTCAAAAAAAAAAAACACAGCTACCATAATTTTTCTCGTTAAAATTTGTAGGTCAGACGCGTTGCGGTTCACGTGTATTAAAAGGATTTCAAAAAAAAAAGCAGGTCTTAGACTTGTTTTGCAAAAATCTATTCCTGTTTCTTTAGTCTAATAAGATTTTATTTGAAAAAAAATTCACATTGTATTGTTTTTTTTATATTTAAAATTATGAAAAACCATCCAAGTGCACAATCGAATGATCAATTACGTCAACCCATTGTGCAAAATAATTTTGACAGCCAAAATTTAGTCATTTTTCAATGTTAATTCAAGCATTAATTTGAATGGAATATATGATATCACCATTCTTGAATTTTAGTCAATTTCAAGATTTCAGAATCATTTGAATTAAAGAACACAAATTGATACCCGATACTCGAGTATTATGAACCCCAAATTCCATCTGTCCGTTTTTTTATATCTTGAGGATTTCAAGTGCTTTATTCATCTTTATAGTTTTTTTCTACCTTCCTTCTCCACACTTCACATTTTCGCATGTATTTTTGATTTTTTTTCTAATGTTAAAAAATAAATACAATATTATATATTTTTTTCTGTCGTATTTTTCATGTTTCGTTTTACTCCAAAACAAAAAGAGAATCAAATTAACACGGTGCGAAGATTGAAATTTTTCTGCACAAGAAAAAAAAAACACTCTGGAATCCTTTTTCTTTCATTCGCCTTTCCTGAAAAATGTCACGTCTCTTCATTGTTTCAATTAAGAGTAAAACGGCCAAATCCTGAGAACGTCAAATGTTTCATTGCTCACATAGACTGACAAAATTTTTCTTAAAAACTGAATATTTATGCGTTCAAAAAGTGAATCTAGAACGATTCAACATAATACCGAATTCGCATCAATAATGCACTCAATTAATTGTTTCAGCAGTTTACTGTTACGATTGTGCAAAATGTCTCAAATTTAATATTTAAAATAATTTTTTCACACCTCAGAGAGAGAGAGAGAGAGAAAGAGAATTGGCCCAATATGATAATAGGTCTTCATGGTACCTTGACCAGTTATTCAAAAATCGTTGGATTTTTTCCAATATTTCTTTTTCCATAAACGCAACGTTAAATAACAATAGTGATTAGTCGTTCGTTTTTCGAGTAACACTAACTCTAACTCTATTAACGTTTCCCTTTTCTGGAGAAGAAAAACGACCAGAATTATTAGTCTGCCTCATACGCAATTTTTTCCAGCGCATTGAGATTTTCGAATGTTAGCATTGTTTTCTGAAACTCTTCATTTTTCAAATTAATGTAGCTCATTGATCATTATGCGTATGAAAGAAAAGAAAAGATGAAAAATTCAATTTGCTTCAGTTAGACTTTCAATATCTTATAAGTTTCGTGTATTACGTCAAGTTGCTTTCCGCCAGCCTTGTAAACTACACATTTTTTCATCAATGACACGTTTTATACGCGAATCGCGTTGAATAATGGTTACGGTAGAATGATTGTTGCCCAGCGATACGAATTATAAATTGGCTTCATATGTGCATTAAATGACAGGCGATTCGTAAAACACATACATCATGCCAAAAAGCTCATCAATCTGTCTCGAAGCAACCAGATGTTCAGATTATTTCTAAATTGTTGAAAAATGTGGGAATTGCTCAAAGAGCTCACGCAAAAAAAAAAACAAACATTGTTTAAAGCATTAATTTTCAAATTGTGCTCCTATAATAAAGTTTCTTATAATTCTTTGAGCAATGGTTTTTGAGATAAATGAGTTTGGCATACTTTAAAATTCAATCTTCATTGTTCTTTCTAATCCTTTTTCTTCTTCAGATTTTTTTCTTCCAATTTCTTCTTATTTTTTGTTATTCCTTCAAATTCTTCCTACACATATATTTTTTTTCATAT